AACGTCAACTTTGACGCGACTCGGTTCGTGACGTTCATCCAACAGACCAAGGGATACACCGACCAGCTGACCCAAGAGTATGCGGCCGTGTGCCAGGCCAAGGGCGTCGCGCCGAGCCCGGTCCCGTGGAAGCGCACCGAGGCCAACGTGGTCGACATTGAAGAGCTCGTCGCGAGCGGAAAGAAGGTCGGCGTGCTCTCGCGTCTGCGTGCTGGCCGCAACGACGCCCTCGTCGGGCTCCAAGAAATGCTCGTGTACGGTCTCAAGGGCCTCGCCGCCTACACGGACCACTCGCTCCAGTTTGGCAACGAAAAGCCCGAGATTTACCACTTCATCCACGAAGCGTTTGCGTTCCTGTGGTCCCCCGACGCCGGCAAAATCGACAAGGTCGTCGAGATGCTCATGCGTTGTGGCCAAGTCAACTTGACCGCGCTCGCTCTCCTCCACGAAAGCAACTGCACGTACGGCGCCCAGTCGCCTGGCATCGCAACGTCGCTTCCTCGCCCTGGCAAGTGCATCCTGGTGTCTGGCCACGACCTCAAGATGCTCCACGATGTCTTGGAAGCGTGTGCAGCGTACAAGGCCGAGCACGGCGTCCACATCAACGTGTACACGCACGGCGAGCTGCTCCCGGCCCACGGGTACCCCGCCCTCCGCGCGTCGCCCCACCTGGTCGGTCACTTTGGTGCGGCATGGCAGCGGCAGTCGCTCGAGTTTGCCCACTTTCCTGGGTCGATCTTGATGACGACCAACTGCTTGACGCAGCCCAAGACCGAGTACAAGGACCGCCTGTTCACGGCCGGCGCTGTCGGGTGGCAAGACATCCCTCACTTGGACGACGGGTGTTACGCGCCGCTCGTGGCCATGGCCGTGGCGTCCCCTGGCTTCACCGAGGCCGACCTCAAGTTCAACTACCCTGCCAACCCGTTTGTAAACACGGTCGAGAAGTACCACGTCGGGTGGGGCGCCGAGACCGTGATCGGTGCGGCGCCGACCGTCCTGCAAGCCGTCACGGACGGCCACATCAGCCGGTTCTACGTGATCGGCGGATGCGACGGGTACGAAGGCGAGCGCAGCTACTACACGGACTTGGCCAAGGCGCTGCCGGCGACGAGTGTCGTGCTCACGGTCGGGTGCGGCAAGTTCCGCATCAACCACCTGGACATGGGCACGATCGGCGACACGGGGATCCCGCGCCTCCTCGACTTGGGGCAGTGCAACGACTCGTACTCGGCGGTCCAGATCGCGCTGGCCCTTGCGCAGGCGCTCCAGTGCGGCGTGAACGACCTGCCGCTCTCGATCGTGCTGTCCTGGTTTGAGCAAAAGGCGGTCGTGGTGCTCCTCACGCTGCTGTCGCTCGGCATCCGCAACATCCGCGTCGGACCGACCGTCCCCGCCTTCCTCCGTCCGTCCATCTTCAAGGTCCTCCACGAAAAGTTCAACCTCATGGCCATTGGCGCCGACGTCCAACAAGACATTGCCAACATGCTCGACGGCGACAAGCCAACGACTGCTTAGACAAGTCTCCGTCTCGTCTTCCATTTATTAATCAATCGCCCATTCCGTGCACGCACCGCGTTGTCCCGCCCCATTTCGTTGCGGGACGCAGCGTCGATGGACTCGTCGTCGCGCCGCCGAGTTCGTGGAAGCAAAGGAGCGTTCGGGGGAGGGTCTTGTCGATGGAACGGCAAAGCCATTCGTGTGGCAAGCACAAGCGCCGATGTGGCAACCGGCTTGGCGATGCGGACCTGACGATGCCCATGCACGCGTCACTGTCGACGCCATTGGCGTGTGAATTCGTGAGCTGGCGCATGCTTCTAACGTCGTCCGAGGATTGCTGCACGCCGACGACGTCGGAGTACGCTGGTTGGGGTCGTGCCTCCGGGACAAGTTGCATGGCTGGCAGGGGAGCTCATGCATAGCGTCGAATGCGATTCACACACGACGCGTGCATCACTCGATGCGCATCTCGTGTATGGCAACGGACCCCTTGGCGGCGGCGTCGGCAACGTGGAGTCGACGCAGCCCATTCAACACTTGGTACATGGCGCCGACAAACGCCGCCGCCACAGAATTGGCAGGTAGGCATGCACGGGTGAACTTGCTTGCACAAGGTGCATCGAACTGGTGCGCAGGACGTGCGCTGCGGCAGGACGGCGCGCACCACGAGCAGAGAAAAATGCGTGTACCGGTTAAATCCATAGTATCCGGATGACCCTGCTTTCGTTTCGACGGCGACATGGACAACGTCCACCACCATCATGGCACGGCGTCGACGTACACGGAGATGGAGGGAAATCTGCATATCCGCGCCAAGAAAATGAACATGTGGAAGACGCGCCGCTTTGTCTTGTCGGGACAGGTGCTGCAGTACTTCTCTCTCAAGAAACCGGGGCAAAAGGGCTTGCTCGAGACGTTTTCTGGGCTCGCCCTCGCTGGCTCCAAGAAGAAGCTGACCGAGAAAACGGACCACATCTTCGAGCTGGTGCAGTGCAGCATCAAACCTGTCCACGAGTACCTGTCGAGTCGCCCGCACTCGTTCCAGATCGCGTCCGCGTCTTTCTTTCTCCTCCTGCATGCCGACTCGCACGACGAAATGCAAGCGTGGGTGTCGTGTTTACGGTATGCTGCAAAGGGAGCGAGCTGCTCTCCCCCCAGCGATCGAGGACTCCTACGGGCACGCAGCTTCAGCGGTGGTGCGCTCACGTCATCTCCGTCGTCGGCGCGAATCACCGTCGCTGCGGAATCGTTCGAGGACGACATCCTGGAATTCGCTGTCTCGCAGCGCTCCGAGATCCAAAACCTCATGGCAGATGGCCACGGTCGGTATGCAGGGAATCATTGGATTGTTCAGAGCGCCGTGTCCCTGGGTGGGAAGCAGGTACCTCGTGGGAGCCTTCTCGTGGCGATCAACGGACACTCGGTTCACCACGAACCCCCTTCATCCTCCGACGTATTGTCGTTGCGGCGACGCCTCCATTCCGCGTCATTCCCGTTGACCCTTCAGTTCCTCCGGTGTCGGTCGAAAGTTGGCGCGCTCAAGCTGCAGCAGTCCTATGACGCGGCGTTGGGAAGCATGCTCAAGCTCACGACTCGAGTCCATGCCCTCCTGGGGTGGAAGGAACTCGAGTGCGAGATCGACGGCGATCTCTTTGTGAGCGCGCGCGTCGGAACAGCAGTGTCATCGGCTGCTTTGGCCAAGTGGGGCCAGTCGCTGCTGCAGTCGAGCGCTGCCGTCGCCGACGCGACCACTTCCGAGGAAGCAACGGCCAAGGCCCTCAAGCCGTCGACGGTAGTGGCCCTCAGCGACGGAATGCCGTCCGTCCGGCTCGTGCACGCCGTCTTGTCCGGTCGACCGCACTGCTTTCTCCTCACAACGGCGTCGTCGAGTTTACTTCTCCAGGCTGCCAGCGACGACGACATGATTGAATGGATGGGGGCCCTCGTCCACGCGATCGACCTCGCGCACGGCGTCGTTAGCGGTAGCGGGGCGGCGCATCCGTCGGCCAGCCCCCACGTCTCCGGGCGACATCCCTCTGGTCCAGTGCAGTCATCCTTTGCCCATCCACCCCATCGGCCGTCATTCCGGACCGCGTCGGTCCCGTCATTCTTCCCCCCGTCCGGCGGCGACGGCATCCAACGGAATGCCCAGCAGACGCAGTCGCTTTTCTTTCACGGCGATGAAGCGAGCATGTCGCCGCCCCTCGTGACGCATCCGACCCCATCTCGCCTCATGGAGTCCGCCGACGTCGTCGACATTCTCGCGTTTTGCCAGCATCATGGACGGTACACGGAGGCGCTGCAACTGATGGTCCAGCACACGACGTTCCGCGCGCAATACTGGCCACACATCTTCGCGTGGGCGCTGCCGCCTCCGGCGACCGCAGCCGACCTGGCAATCCTCTCGACCACCGCCATCTCGGATGAGTACGCGTGTGCCATTTGTTTTGGACGAGTGACGGCACATGTTGACATAGGGACACAATCCAACTGCACAAGGACATTCCCCGCACGGCGACGTGGCTGGCGTCGTCGGACGGCGCGCCGCCGTCGACGGTGCATGCGCCGCCCGCGCGCCTCGACGGCCTGCGCACGGTCCTCCACGCGTTCATTGCGCGTTCGTGTGCATCCACGACCGGGTCATCGCACACGTCGTACCTGCAAGGAATGAACGGCATTGCGTTTGTGCTGCTCGAAGTCTTTGCCGACGACGTGCGCAGCTCGTTGCAGTTCCTGCACGGCCTCGTCCACGGCGCGCTCCCGACCATCTTTCACACGGAAGCCCACTCGACCAACGCGCTGGTCCAGACCGGTGCGCAGCTCGAGAGCATGGTCGCCGCGTACTTGCCAGCGCTCGCCCATGTCTTTGAGACCGTTGGGTTGCCGGTCTTCCTCCTCGCGTACAAGTGGTTCCCGACGCTGTTCTCGGACGTGTCGCTCCAAGCGAATCGCAAGCACAACCAGCTCCAGTACAACACGCTGCTCGTGGCATGGGACGTGTGCATGCTCGTGGGAGTCGAAGGGATTTACGTCGTCGCGCTGGCGCTGTTTGCGGCCGCCGACGGCGCCATTCGCGCCCTCGGCCCTACCTGCCTCGCCGAAGACGTCAGCGGCGCGTTCACGGCGGTGCTGTCGACCCTGACGCCGCACGACTTTGTCCTCCACGTGTGCGAGGTTATCGAAACGTGCCAGCACCCATTGCTCCTCCAGATGCGAGATGCCCACCACCGACGACTGCACGACCCTCCCGTGGCTGTCAAAGACCTCGACACTGGCCAGCTTTTTGGGGTCACGTCCAACGCCAAGCTCGTGCCGCTCCACGACGCGACGGGACTCGTGCAGCTCCCGGTCGACAACCCACCGGCACGATCCACGATATCCACGGCGACGCTTCCGTTGTGACCTCTTTCGACGCACTGGAAGGGGCCGTTCTCACAAAGGTGTGTGTGCTAAACGAGCGTCGCGAGATCGAGTTGGCGGCCCGGAAGTTCCCGACGGCAGGGGTTGTTGGAGGTAGCGAAAGCAGGAGATGGGTCTGCAGCCCCGAGATGCAAGGAAAAGGAGCTCTCGGTAACACGCGAGTTGGTTCACGTCGTCCCAGTGGATCGCCGTAGAGGCGTAATCCGCCTCACGCTGTCTCGTCGAAGACGATGTGGCCACGGATCGAGGCCAGGACAACTCGTTCGATTCCCTAGGGCTGGCCACAATGCAGCAACAGTCTTCAGCCACCACGACGCATACGTGTCGCGACGGGTCGAGTTAGAGCACGGGTGGTTGGTGCTTCAACAGCGCCCTGCCCATCCCGAACGCTCACCAAGCCACTCCCATCCAGAACGCATGCCACGTGTGGGCCGTTGGCCGCCATTGAATGGAGCCGTGTGGCCGACGGACGGCTGTCTCATGGCAGAGTTTAGCGGGCGTCGAATTGTCGGGCGTACTTGGAACCCCTGAAAAAGAAACCGTCGAGGCAGACGAATCCTACACCCCGAAACTCCAATACTCGATCAAAACATGTATTGACAAAGGTTTTGCGACCCACAATCAAAAGAACCGACAAATCGGGTTTAAGGCTTTACTCATTAAAACCCGATTCCTGGGTATTAAAACCATGGTTTTATTTACGAGCATGCGGCAGGTGCTTACAGAGGGCGGATTTGTGCTGGTGCGGGTTAACGTCGTCAGTGTAGCGACTCCACAGGCCCCACTGCCTTGCCGACCTTGTTTACGCCCTCCTGAATCAGCATCAACGTTGCCGTTCAATGGATCACCGCCTGCGCCAGCCGTAGGATCAGCGTTGATATTGCTGTCGTCGACGATGTCGATGTCGATGACGATGGCCTCCACAACCATGTCGCACACGAGCACAAGTGGTATGGAACGTGCCAAGTGCCCCCAGTGGCAGTGCGCACGTTATTAAAACCCGATTTGGTGCCACCTCCGACAATCGGGTTTTATATTAAAACTTGAAAAAACCCGATTGCAACAAACCAGGCAACACACAAGCCGAGAAAACTCGTGGGAGCAGCACGTCGGTCCATCGCACGTGCTCCGGCGCGATCACCTCGCGATGTCGACATCCGACGTATTGGGACATCCAAGTGAACACAGCAATGGCTCGTACGATGTGCTCGTGGAGCGCCGCCGCTCGTCCGGAACACGCCCCCTGGTTCGACAGCGCGTGCATATTTGCATGCCGAAAGCATATTTCCTCCACGCAAGTTGGCATCTCGACGTTGAATACATATATTGAAATATCTTAAGCGCGACGACTCAGCATGTGTCCCCTACGGCGCCGTCGGCTTGTCGCCGTCGAGCATGTTGGCAATGTCTTGTTGGACGTCGGCGCCAATGGCCATGAGGTTGAACTTTTCGTATGGTTTTATCGAGCATGCGGCAAGTGCTTACAGAGGGCGGATTTGTGCTGGTGCGGGTTGACGTCGTCAGTGTTGCGACTCCACACCTTGCCGACCTCGTTTACGCTCTCCTGAATCAGCATCAACATTGCCGCTCAATGGATCACCGCCTGCGCCAGCCATAGGATCAGCGTTGATATTGCTGTCGTCGGCGATGTCGATGTCGATGACGATGGCCTCCACAACGATGTCGGACACGAGCACAAGTGGTAGGGAACGTGCCAAGTGCCCCCCTCTCTCCACAAGGAGGGCAGTGCGCACCTTATTAAAACCCGATTTTGTGCCACCTGCGACAATTGGGTTTTATATTACTACCTCCGTCCGGTTTTGATTGTCGTGATTTTTTTAACTTGGCATCAAAAATCCCACCATTTTTTTCCTACGCTGCAATTGGTTAAATCATGGAGAGGAGTTCAATTCAAATCGACTGGTTGTCGAACGAAAGTCGTTGGCGGGATATCAAGAG